GCCGAGCCTATCCTGTATGCTATTCTTAAAAAAGCTCCTAAATGAACTTTAAGAGTTCTTGGGTTCACTTTAAGAGTTAAATACTCTGATAGAAAATTGGGCAAAGGAGATGAACAGACAGTGCCCCAGAACACAAATAAACAATATCTGGAATAAAAGAGAGAAATAGTTCAACAAGGTTTATCCCAAGGTGTGATGTGCAATGTTGTTTATAGAGTGTTTCCCAACTATGGATGTTATTTCTACTTGGTTTCAGGTTATAACCGCAACAAAGACCTTAGAATTTTTAAGAGTAGTTCATCATGTTCACTGAATGCCTTTTTAGATAAGATTGTAAATACTACTCCTCTTTTTGCTCCCTCACTCTTGGCTAGCTCCCCCTCCTCTCTGTTCCCTTTACCATCAGTCTTCGACTCTCACGCTTCCTTGCCTATTTCAGTAGCCTCCTAACATCTCCCTGCTTTCTGTCTCTTCCCTCCTACTCCATCCATCTTCTGGATGCCCAGAATCCTTGTTGTTTTTACTTTTTTGAGACAGAGTCTCACTCTGTTGCCCTGGGTAGAGTGCAGTGGTGTCAAAACTCACAGCAACCTCAAACTCTTGGGTTCAAGTGATCCTCCTGCCCCAGCCTCCTGAGTTGCTGGAATACAGGTGTCTGTCACAATGCTCAGCTAGTTTTTCTGTTTAGTACAGACAGGGTTTTACTTTAACTCAGGCTGCTCTCAAACTCCTGAGCTCAAGCAATCCAACTGCCTCAGCCTACCAGAGTGCTAGGATTACAGTTGTTTTAAGTAAGTTAGAGCAACTGTTTTCCTCAAAAATCTCAGCAGCCTCTGCATTGTACAGAGTACAAACTCCAAACTTGTAAAGCTGTCTTCTCAGCCTCCCGTATACATTTCCGACTTCATCTCTTATTACTCCCCAGTGAGCTGTGCTCTAGCTCTGCTTAGCTACCGGACTCCTATAAATATGTGAAGCTTTCCCATTGCCAATTCAGTAATTGCCAGCTTAATCGTTCCCAGATTATTTACACTCCAACCAAGGGATATTAGGAAATTCTCATCCACAAACGCATGAAAATGAAATATTCATGTATAATTTGCAAACTGCCAGATAACTAATTTAGGGAAGTAAGGATAGAGGATGGAGGTGCTTACCCATTCAGCTTCCTTTTTCACACATGTGGCCCCTTCTGCCTTTACTCCCCAGTCTTCTGCATACGGTGCAGCCGTCTGCAATCTAGCCCCTCTCCACAGTGCAAAGCAGTTGATTAGAGCCCTGCCTCTCCTGCAAGACTGCAAGTTAAGAGCTGAGGACATGTCTTACTCATCCGTGTATTCCCATCACCCCAAAATACCAGGAACATGGCAAGTTTTAATAAAGAAATTAATCTACTTTCTGGTCTTGTTTTTCAGAGTTTGGAGTATTTTTTCACTGCCAATACAAACTCTTTCATGGAACTTTTGCAGTGCTGGACTGTAAAAATTCTGGAGTCGTCCTTATTTTCTGATTAAGAAAAACATTAGAAGTAAAATTATACGCAGGAATATATAATTTTGTCACAATTTATTTTGTAACGTGATTTGAAAGCTCATCAAAACGAAATCAACTCAAGATTTTGATATTTTTAAAGCTTTGACTTACAATGTAAGACTTACCTCGCTTTGATGTCCTCTCTCTTATGAGAACCCATGAGTTTTGCCCAGGTGAGTTTAGCTGTTGGTGAAGGGCCCCTGTTCGGGTGAGTGTTGCTAAGGCTGCATTTGGGATACACCAACCAATACCCTGGAAACAGAGTCCTGCAACTTGCTTTAGATATGCCACAGAGCAGAGGAAAGCAGGGCTGGTGAGAATTTAGACGGGGCAATCCGTCCGAGTGGGGAAAACCCAGTCACAGAGTAGCCTTAGCCTGGCACCTTTGTTTTTTCTCATGATACGGATTCATTGCAACCAAAGGGTGAATAATGTTCTATTTTATCTATTGTTAAGGTAAAATTCTGAAGACTAAAATCTACTGGGCTCTCTTATCCACTATAGCCTTTGAAGAAGTTGTAACTTTTAGGCGGTGCTGAAGGGGTGGTCAAGATATAGAAAACCCACAATTCCTACTGACCTGAAAAGGGTATTTTTTTAGGATTTTATTCCAGCATATCAAGGGTCACTATTTACATATTTATTGATATTTGTTGTCTAAGTGTGCCAGTTTCTGTTCCAGGTACTAGGACACAGCTATTGAATAAAAACAAAGCCCCAGCTCTGTTTCCCCAGCTCTGGAAGCGTATATTCCAGTGGGGGAGAGACAATGAACTGTCATGCCAGCTGGTGATGAGTGCCATGGAGAAAATCTCAGCAGTGTGTGGAGGACAGAGAATGTGACTGTAGATTCCTCCTTTACACAAGCAGCTAAATAAGGAGACATTCGAGCAGAAACCTGGAGATGAGGGGGGCGCAATACAGTATCCAGGGGAAGAGTATTCTCAAGGCAGAGGGATTGGTAAGGACAGAGGCCACATGACAGAAGAGGGCTTGGTGGGTCCAAGGAATGGTGAGAAGGCTCCTTGGATTAACCGGAAGGGAGGGAAACACAGGTTGCCAAAGGTAGCATCAGGGCCAGGACACAGGGTGCTTCCTGAGCCAGGATAAGGAATTAGACTCTTAAGCAAAATGGTAAGCCACTGGAGTTTTGAGTTATGGTACTGCTGCAATAGTCCAAGTATGAGATAGATGATGGTGTCTTGGTCCAAAGTCCCTGCAGGGGAAAGTCGTTAGATTCTGGACTGAGTACACTCTAGATTGAGTAAAGACGACTTACTGGCTCGCTTCTCCATCTCCCTCTACTTCAGGAGCAGTAAGACTGAGGGTTACTCTAAGCTGTACAGTTCATCTTTATTACTCAGTGTGTGTACTGGTGAGTTTGCATTCTCGCTAAGTGGACTTGGGACATGCAGTTCAGGGCCTGCCTGCTTTCATAGACACTTGCAGACGTGCAGAGCAATGGAAATTCTGAGCAGGTAACACAGAACAAGGTTAACACCCTACCTTGTTTCAGCCCTCATCCTGTGTCCTTATGGTCTTTCTTGGGCCATGCTTTTTGCATTTTGTGGGGATTTTGGTTATTTCAATCTTTTTTTATTTTTTTTTTTTGCAGTTTTTGGCCAGGGCTGGGTTTGAACCCCCCTCTCCTTGAGCCACAGGCACCGCCCAGTTATTTCAATCTTTAAAATGGCTAAAATGACTAAACCAAGTGGTTTTTAGTGTTCCTAAGCTCAAGAAGGCTTCAGGGTGCCTTATGGAGAAAATATATTCAAGAATAGTGTTGGTGACTTTGAGTTCTGTCAGTGAATCAGCAATATGTATTAAATAAGGTGTCATTAAGTAGAAACAGACATAAAACAGGTTATGTCATAGTTAATGAAAATGGTGTGACCAGTGGCTCACAGGAACCTAACCCAGTACTTTCACTATGCACAATATAATGGTTCATTATTTGCTAATTCAGTGTTCACAGTGACTTTTTAGAATATAATTACCAAAAAATAATGAGTACTAACTAGCTTTATAAATTAGAGTGAAAGAATAATTTAGAAGGTTCAAAAAAGCACTGTAAAGAGGCTTGGAAAAACCTAAGCCTGCACAGAAAACTGCTATTCCTCAAGAGAATTTATGGATTAGGCTGGCACCCCCTATTTCACTGTTTGACGACAGCTGAGAAAAGGGCAAGTATGACTCACCGTGTTCTCATCCAGGAATCGCCTGAGTTTATAAAATGCAAACGCCTGGGTTCCACCCCAGGGGCTGAACCACCTCCATAACAAGTTTTAAAAGCTCTCTAGGTGATTTTTTTTTTCGAGACAGTCTCATTAGTCACCCCCTCAATAGAGTGCCAGTGTCACAGCTCACAGCAACCTTGAGAACCTTGGGCCCAAGCGACTCTCTTGCCTCAGCATCCCAAGTAGCTGGGACTACAGGCACCTACCACAACACCTGGCTATATTTTTGGTTGTAGCTGTCATTGTTTGGCAGGCCTGGGCTGGATTCGAACATGCCAGCTCCAATGTATGTGGCTGCCACCCTAGCTGCTGAGCCACAGGCACCAAGCCACCATGTGATTTTTTTTAAGTCTCACTCTGTCACCCATGTTAGTGCTGTGGCCTCAGCCTAGCTCACAGCAACCTCAAACTCCTGGGTTCAAGTGATCCTCCTGCCTCAGCCTCCACAGTAGCTGGGACTACAGGCATCTGCCACGACTCTTGGCTAGTTTTTCTATTTTTAGTAGAGACAGTCTCATGCTTACTCAGGCTGATCGTGAACTCCTTGAGCTCAAGGAATCCTCCTACCTCAGATCCCAGAGAGCTGTGATTACGGATGTGAATCACCATCTGTGTGGCCTCTGAAGGTGATTCTAATATACAACAAAAGCTTCTCAAACTTGAGTGTTCACAAGATCTACATGTAGAGCTTGTTAAATCACTGGGCTCCACTTTAAAGAGATTTTAATTCAGCAGGTATGGAATGGGACACCAGAATTTGCATTTCTAGCACATCCCCAGGTGATGTTGAAGCACCATGGACCACCTTTAAGTAGCACTGCTCTGTATCACCTGCGTCACAAAGTCACAGACACCGCAGTGAACTCAGGTTGAGCAAAGCCCAGCAATGAAGCTGCTTTCAGCCAAAATGAAACTGTTCCCGGTTCTGGTTTTCCTCTATGGCCTTACATTCTCCTACACACCATCTTCCACGTGGCTTGGGCTGCCAACTGTGGGCAGCCTCAGTCCTACCTCCGGGATCCTTGGCACTCTATTCTCACACCTGGATTTGTTCAGTCCATGTGTTCATTCTCAAACCAAACCCTGAAGACACAGCCAGATAATCTGGCCAGCCTGAGGAACATGACCACCTTTGTGAAAGGAATGTAAGCCACAGTGTATATATAAACCACGAAAAGATGTACCTACTCGGATATTTAACAATTACTGCTACAGAGATGTGTTCCATCACCATTTCCATTCTTTCCAAGTTTTATTCCAAAAAAGGGGATGTGTGGGAAGATTAAGATGTCCATGAAGAATATTCGTCATCATTACAATAAAGTATTCAAGTGGACAAAAATGACAAGGAGCCAATTCAGTATGTAATGTCCTATTTCCCCTCTGCACAAGTTAAAAAAAAGCCAAAGCCTTCTCAGTATGGAAGAGTAGGACATCTTTTACACTGAAATGGTGCCCCAAAGGAGTTATAAAATCCTGATTTTGTGTCCTATTTATCCTTTTCTTTCTGTTCTTTCTCTTTTTTCTCACGCTCGGCTTTAGCTTCTTCTTCCTCATGTTTTTTGATCAACTGTTCCACTTCCTTTTGTTTGAGAACTCTGATTACAGTCTTCCCATTCTCTCTTGTTAGTGTGGCAATTTCCACTAGAAACAAACACATAACATTTATATTACAGGCAGGCATACTTAGCAAACAAAACTTAACAGACACTCATGGTTTACTCTCCTCATATCATGGGAGCCTTAGGTCACAGGTTTTGTGCTTAATATGATTCATGGGTATTTATGGAATAAAACACCTTTGATCTTGTAATTTTTTTCAAGTTTAAATCATTTTATATTTAAACATTGATTTTACAAATTGTTATTATATAAAGGTGAACTAAATTTATAACCTAATTTGTTCAAGCGAATTGCCTTCAAAATTGCAGCTGTATATAAGTCTACTGAATTTTCAGAGAAGCAGCTGTTTTTCAATTAACTTGGCAGCTTCACATCTCTTTTGGTCAGTCCACCAGACTCATGCACGGTGAGAGTTCTCTGGACCTTGTCCATACTGAACCATCCTGGGTGGTGATTGTTCTTCTCTATTTATAGGGCAACTTTGGATATAAAGCCAATGCCTGATTAAAATTTCTGAAGAACTTTCTACAGATGGCGTTTCTCTCAATTCTAACCACCCTGCTGCTAAGGTCAAGGGTAGCTTGGTTCCTCTCTTCTGCTGTTAAGCAGTGAGCATCTGCTGACAGGGCTGCAGCCTCAAGCTCTGGCCCACAGCACCACCACCACCAGGTGCCACACTCCTCTATCTTGTAACATTATAATTACCATATTTACTTAAATATCTTCTGTCTCAGCCATCTTGACTTTCTTAGCAGTCATCTGTCACGTCCTTAGAAAAAATACAATCAGCCAATTGTTCTGGCTGTTCTATCAGCTATGCTGACCAGAAACAACCACTATTTCCTAGTTGGAACCTTTGAAGGCTCAGCCAGAATCTTCAACCAGTAATAGCACTTTTTATGGACTTATCAAAACAAAAACATGAAAAACAGCCATGGCTATGGACAAAAAAAGAAGACTGATACTTAAAGGGGAAGGAATTTCTGTGTATGGGAAATTGAGTAGTGCCTCCTTGCAGTTAGGTAGTAGAAAACGGAGGGCAATGTGCAAGTTAACGGCATTATCTAAGGAACATCAGCAGCTAAATTACCCTCAACTAAATCAATGTTAATTTACCACAAGTTTTGAAAACCATTATTTACAAATATTGTTTTACATAGCCAGACAACTTAAGTTGAATAAAGTGTTTAGAACTGTTAACATGAAAAAAAAAATTGTTAACAGGAGCTTAACACAAAAGATTAATACGGCAGTTCTCAACCTATGGGTCGTGGCCTCTTTGTAACAGTGAAAATACATCCTGCATATCAGATATTTACATTACGATTCATAATAGTAGCAAAATTACAGTTATGAAGTAGCAATGAAGATAATTTTATGGTTGGGGGTCACCACAACATGAAGAACTGTATTAAAGGGTCACGGCATTAGGAGGCATTAGTAAGGTTGAGAACCCACTGAATTAATACATTCAGATGAATAGAAGAGGGTACCACAACACGTGTGAATGCTGTATCTCTGATAAAGCATATTATACCTATGTAAAAATACACAGCAACATACTTTATTATACACACAATCATAGATCTCATGGGCATGAAGTCTTGATCAGTGTTAACTAAAAGGAGCCTGAGCCACAATCTCTGTTGAGTACTGAACCATCCATGCTCCAAGCCTGTAAGCTTGCAATATGTGGACTGTGGTTCCACAACTTACCAGTGTTCATCTTGGTCAAGTCACCTGACCTCAATTAAGCCACTGTGTCTTCATTTAGGAAAGAGGCAGACAACTAATTCATGAGACTGCAGTTCCAATGAACTAAAATAGCATGTTAAAGGCCCACCTAATAGTAACTGCTCAATCACTTCCTCTTAGTCAAGCAAACAAATCAGAGGAAAAGACACGAATTACCTTTTTCAGCAGATAATTTACTAACATCCATGGTCTTATTTAGCACTTTTATAGCTAAGGCAAGTGCCGACTTCAAAGTCATTTCCCCTTCTTTGTAGTCTTGTTTCAACATCGACACAGCAGCCTATAAAACAAAGAATCAACACAGAGAATTTCCTTTAAGTTTTTGCATTTTTTAGTAATATGAATTGGTCTAGAAGAATAATGCCTGAATTATTGGCGCTAAAATAGTGATGGCAGGGAAGGTAAACAAGGCATGCGGTAACAAGAGAGGGTGCGGACACTCTATGAAGGGGGACTTTAACCTGGGGTCCTCAGTCCCCCAAGGGATTTGTCATAGAATCTGGGAGTGGGGGGGGCATAAGAACTAGGATGTGAAACAAAACTACAACTTCAAATTGAAAATAAGCATTCAATCACAAATGTAGTTAGTTAACACACCCCAGGATAGTAGTAGTACCTAGTCACCAGCAGAAATCACAGATATACATATTTTCATATCATATTAAGGTTGTTGTGTTAAAATACTGTTTACATTTGCTACTTCAAAATTATGGTAGCTATCACAGACCTTCTGTTGGATTGTACAGCAAAGATACTTACAGCACTATTATTGCCAATGCATGTGGCTTTCCACCCCCCATAATTTCCACTAGGGTCACTCTGATAGAGCTGAAAGCCATAATGCTTATCCCAGCCAATGTACAGCAATGAAACACCGAAGGGACGTTTTCCTTTAATAAAGAAAAAAGGCAAACATAACAATTTAAACTTTGTATCACCACAGCACAGTCCCTTGAGCTCAGTGAACGTGGCTAAGCCCTTTTCTGTGAAGTTAAGCATTCATAAACTGCTGTTTGTTCTGGCTACCACAGATAAGCTCCATTACAAATTCAACTTTTGTTTCTAGCATTTGGACATAGCCAGGAGAGGAAATAAACACAGAGGACAATGCTGAATCTCATTATCATGTAAAAAGCAATTTTCCCCCAGATTTGAAAGTGTTATTTTGGATATATAGGATACCCAAAATAACAATCCTATAGTGATTTTCAATATCCTATTAATAAAATTTATACATGATGGAAGCAGGTTCATTCACAAAGCAGGGATGTGTGAAGGTCTAGTGTTCTATAGCCCTGCAGGATGACTGTGGTATTAGACAGTATCACATGCATAGGAGGACATCACATGTTCCCAACACAAAGAAATGACATGTTTGAGATGATGAATGCTAATCACCCCAATCTGATCAGTATACGTTATATGTATTGAAATATCATTATGCTCCCATGAATATATATATTGTCAATTTTGTTGTTGTTGTTTGTTTTTCTTTTTGCAGTTTTTGGCTGGGGCTGGGTTTGAACCCGCTCCCTCCAGCATATGGGGCCGGCGCCCTACTCCTTTGAGCCACAGGCGCCTCCCTATATTGTCAATTTTAAAAAATTAAAAAACATGTATATGAAAAAATGCTCACCAATCATTTATCAAGAAAATGCAAATCAAAACCACAATGAGATATTATTTAACCCTAGTTATAATGGCTATTATTAAAAAGACAAAAAAATAACAGATGCTGGTAAGGATGCAGAGAAAAGGGAACTCATCGCTGCTGGTGGGAATGTAAGTAAGTGTAGGCACTATGAAAACAGCATGGAGATTTCTTTTAAAAAATTCAAAACAAAGGGTGGCGCCTGTGGCTCAGTGAGTAGGGCGCCAGCCCCAATACCAAGGGTGGTGGGTTCAAACACGGCCCTGGCCAAACTGCAACAAAAAAATAAGACGGGCGTTGTGGTGGGCACCTTTAGTCCCAGCTACTTGCGAGGCTGAGGCAAGAGAATCACCTAAGCCCAGAAGTTAGAGGTTACTGTGAGCTGTGTGATGCCATGGCACTCTACTGAGGGTGATAAAGTAAGACCCTATTGCTACAAAAAATAAATAAATAAAAAATTCAAAACAAAACGAGCACATGATCCAGTAATCCCATTAGTAGGCATTTATTCAAAGGGAAAGAAGTCAGTGTATCAAAGAGAATCTGCATATACATTTATCACAGCACTATTCACAAAAGCAAAGATGTGGAATCAACCTGTCTAGCAACAGACAAATGGATAAAAAAAATATGGTATATATACACAATGGAACACTATCTGGCCACAAAGAAGAATGAAATGTCATTTGCAGCAACATGGATAGAACTAGAGTTCATTATGCTAAGTGAAATAAGCCAGTCACAGAAAAACAGATATTGCCTGTTCTCACTCACATGTGGAAGCTATAAAAGCTGATCTCATGGAGATAAAGAAAATGATAAGATACCAGAGGCTGGCAGGGGGTATGTAGGTGGGAAAGGGGTATGGAGTGAGGTTGTTCAATGGGTACATATAGAGCGGCCAGGCATGGTGGCTCATGCCTGTAATCTTAGCACTCTGGGAGGCCAAGGCAGGTGGATGGCCTGAGCTCAAGAGCTTGAAACTAGCCTGAGATCGAGCAAGACCCCATCTCTAAAAACAGCTGGGTGTTGTAGTGGGATTCTGTAGTCTCAGCAACTTGGGAGGCTGAGGCAAGAGGATCACTTGAACCCAAGTTTGAGGGTTGCTAAAGTGAGACTCTGTCTCAAAAACAAAATAAAAACAAAACAGAGAAAAGATAAAAATTCTAATGTTTCGGCAGAGTGGGTGACTGACTATAGGTAGCCACAATGTATTGTGTATTTTAAAGTAGTTATAAGAGTAAACTTGAAATATTCTCAACACACACAAATGATACTTAGTGATAGATACCTCCAATACCAGGACTTGATCATTACACGATCCTTAGTGATAGATACCTCCAATACCCTGACTTGATCATTACACATTCTATGCATGTTTACAAAATATCACATGTACCTCATAAACATGTAAATATTCTGTATCAACTTAAAAAGGGGAAATGTTTATTTAGTTTTCAATTTCTTCTTCCAGTCTCAAACGGTCATTACTTAAACACATGTTTTAACTTTTGGAATAAAATCTCTGAAAAATTCAGTACCTCCAAACTGTGTATAAGCTTGCTTGATATCACACAGTGCTGTAACCAACTGCTCACAAGGAATTGGCTCCTGATACTGTAATAAATACCTAGGATAAAGAGATAGTTGTGTTAACAGTTTTCTCTAAAACACAGATACAGTGTGAGGAAAATACCCTGAAAAGAAATCTACGCTATGGGAACAACCTAAAACTCCTTTGTATTTGAAAAACAGGTTGAGAGGAAACATGTCTACATCCCAATATCCTTATGGTAAATAACATTTTGTGAATATGGTTTAAAAAAACTGTAATTTTCAATTAATGGACTTTTAATGACCATAGTCTTTGCAAAGGTGAACTACCCTTAGAAACATCTAATTTCTCTACCAGGTGTGCTATTTAGACCATACCATACCTTTGAGCAATGAGCCTCAGTTCATTAGTCAGAACATTAGCATCAGAAGTTATGCCTGCCACACTGCAAGCCATGTCCCTTGAAGAAAAGAAAGACACTGATCTGAGAGCAGGAAAAATGCTGGCAAGGGGCATTTACAAGTATTAAAAAGCACCAAGCTCTAAGAGAAATTCACCATACTTGCTTCACAGCTGCTACACCCTTTAGGAAAAAAAAAACTACAGAAATTTTATCTTTGTAGGAGGCATTTACTTGACGTCATTCAACATGAAAGATGAGGAAGTGAAACCTTACATTCTTCAATTTATTACAAGAGCTAATACCAAGGGCACAAGAGCCAACACCAAGAAGCCAAAGCAAATTTTAAGAAGATTCAGCAACAAAGAAGAAAAAGATTTTGCTAGACAGATTACCCCATGATTTTGGGTAGTACTCTCACCTAAGGCCTGGCTTGATGGAGGTGAAGGTGAAGGATAAGGATAAGGATGGGGGTGGGTGGGTGTTACAAGTCTGCTTAGGATATCCAGAGCTAGTCACCTAATACAAGTGCATTGTGGGTTTTTTGCCTGTTTTCTGAGGGCTGGCCTGGCTCTCCCAGTAGCCTAGATACTCACTGTGACTATGCCCAGCCAAGCCTGCAAGCTGCTGAGTGGACCCAACAGAGGCTCAGTGGAGGGATGACACTACCTTGAAAAAGTGGATCTAAAGGCCCTGATAACTGGCATTTGAGAGGCTACCAACGAAGGGAAAGACTTTAACTAGCACAGCCAGCTCTCCACTAGCTGTGAAGTTCTACACATCCAAATATAACAGAAACCTTGCAAAGTGTACAGGGCTTTGGTGAAACTGTCTTCAGACCTCTAAGAGACCTGTTCTTTTGTAAGATTCAGTACAATTCAACAAAATTCCTGAGTAGCTATTCTACACAATACTTTGAGGACCTCCTGTGCTATTTCATTCATTTTACGAATTTTATTTTATTTGATTTAACTGCCACAATGCTCTTAGGTTCAATGAAGTTAAAGGTCACACGAGGTCACATAGGTTGTACAGGTGGTATGGACTTGAACTTCAATCTGTGTGACTACTAAGTCTATACTTTTGTCAGTACACAATGCTGTTTCTCCACTAAGTGGTCATGGACTTAAAAGAAACAATACATAGTACTGCACCTCAAGGTTTCAAGCAAAATAAGTCAAAAGCACAAATTTTCACAAGTAAAAACATAATAAAGTCTTCAATTCCACCATGTACAATGGAAAAGCCCTCCCAAATTATGCAGATTCCACTTGTGTGAGAAAGTGAGATATTAAAAAACACCCTTTCCTAAAACCTCACTTACTCATTGAGTTTATAAATTTTTTCAGAAAAAAAGACTTCATCAAGAAGCTTGTGGATGTTGCGTCTCTCTGCTGCAAGCAAAACACCATCGTTTGCTAAAATTCCCAAACAGGTGCCTGCATGTCCAATAGCTTCCATGGCATATTCAACTTGGTATAAGCGACCTATAAAACACAAGCAGTGAGAAGCCAGGACTTGCCACTGGTCCAAGAGAAATCACCAACGACGCCAGCAGGCTATAAATAAGAGCCCCCCTTTTACTCTGCTATGATGCATGGGGGTCGTAATTAATCCAAAATACAAAAAGGATGAACTCTGCAACTATAAGAAACATTTACAGATTTTTTTTTCCCATAAAAATCTAACACTTTAGAAGAATTTTTAATTGAGGCAGATTTGAACAATTTCTATTTTACCTTCTGGAGAAAATATAGTGGTCCTGGAGTCATATCTTCGAGACTGCAAAGGAAAAACATACAATTGATTCCTGCCCTCTGAAAATAAGCCCACAAATCATGTGATAAAACCTATCTTGGTACACAAAGTTCAGTGTGTGAGAGGAAACTAATAAGGGGCACATCTGTGGTTCAAAAGCGTAGGGCGTCAGCCCCGTATGCCAGAGGAGGCAGGTTCAAATCCAGCCCTAGCCAAAAAAACTGCAAAAAAAAAAAAAAAAGAAACTGATAAGGAAGAAGACACCTTTCCAGTAAGGAAGACACCACCATTCCACTTCTTTCCTACAATTTCAATTTTCTCATGCAAGTCTGTAAGTGGAGTATAAGCAATACTATTAGGCAACAGTTTATTGGCATGGGTATTAACTCACCATGTTTTCTGAACTTTATATAATAGTTCCTGTAAGAAGAAAATTGAATCATCATTAAAAAATATTCTCAACTTAAAAACCACTTCCTGACTTTACAAATCTGTTTTATTGATCCCTTTATTCAGTTAACATTTACAGTGCACATGCCGAGTGCCAGGCACTATGCTAGATGATGGAATACCAAGACAGGTAAAACCAATCCCTGTCCTGAAGAGCTTATACTAGTTTGCCAATTAGTTGAGAGAGACAGTCATAGATTATAAAGTAATGTGGAAAGAGGCACTAAGGGCCAGGTGGAATGAGAGATACAGAAAACGAGAGATGGGAGTATCAGAAATAAGGCTGACAACGCTCAGGTCTAAAATAAAGAATACGAGAGGAGAGGAAGCACAGTCCAGGCAGGGCAAATCGTGTGAGTGGGCAACAAACTACTAACGTTTAAAAAAGAATATAAAGAAGTCATAGAGGTAAGCCAGTATCAAATGCATAGAGCCCTGATTGTCAAACTAAGAGACCTTCCCTAGAGAGTGATAAAGGGTCCTGAACTTGGTGGGAACAGTAATCTTGGGCATCATGATTTCCATTCCTGGAAAAGACACCACCACCTGCTCAACACAGTTTAATAGAAATACCTCAGAGTCCAAAGCCCAAGCTCCCAGATACTAGAATACGAAATCAGGGCTGGAAAGGCAAGCTGGGGAAATCAGGTACTGGCGGTCCAAATAAAAACTGAATTTTGTCTTTTGGTCAAGAGGGGTCCGCCGAATGATTCTGATCACTCAGGCTGCTGAGACACTGAAGGAAAGGCAAGTAGTTATGAGGCAGTTCCAACAGGCAAGCGCAAGGGAAGGATGGCCCTGAGCAGAAAAGCCTGGAAGACACAAAAGAGACCTGCCACGGGAGGTGGGGGCTGTTGATTCGTGCGTAAATACAACTTTCTGTCGTCTTCGTGCCTGACGCCGCACGATCCTGAGTTCACCTGTGCCTCCAGCACCGCTAACTTTCACGGCCCGACTCCACGGTCCTGCCCACCAGCTCCCCATGTCCAGCCCGCTCACCCCGCCTGACCCCAGACTGGACCCCTGTTAGACCGACGGCGGCCGGCGGGAGCCAGTCCCGGCTGCCGGTCGGTCAACGAGGAGGCGGGTGCAGAGTCATGGTGCCCACGGCTCTTCGGCGGCGGCTGCAGGCCGGGACCAGCTGTCTCGACGTTTGCGGACCCCCGCCCCAGGGACAGAGGCCAAGTTCCGCGGGGCCTTAGGAGGCAAAGGCTCACCGAAGGGAAGACCCTGGAGAGTCGAGATACACAGACAGCTCTTTACTCCGCGCCAGACGACCCACCAGCGACAATGGGATATCCGCTGCTAATATGGCCCCCGCGCGTGCGCAGAGCCACCGGGGGCGGGGCGGGGCGGCCCGGGACGCGGAAGTGCTTCTGGGGGCGGGGCGAGGGCTGACTGCTCGGGTGGGAGCTGGGGAGTGGGTGCGCGCACCGCAGGCTGGGACCCTGGGGCACTCACTGGAGGGTGTCTTACACCACGGAGGAGGGCGGGAAGACCGTAGCCAAGCCCAAGTCGAATTACTGTGTAGCTCATTTCCCTCTCCTCCGCTTTGCGCTCATTCGGTTTCACTTTCTCTTAACTGCTGTTCGCAGACCTAATAGAGTGGAGTGACCTGCTAGTTGCTTACCATTGCTCCCTGCTCCCCAGAATGGCTCCATATACACCAGACTTTTTACCCTTCATCCTGCCTCTTCTCATCAACGTCCTTCTTGAATTTGGCTTCCACGCGTTTTTGGACGTGTAAATTATGGTAGGGCTCACGTGTTGGGGAGAACTTCTTGGTCGTTTCCTGTGCTTTTCAACATGTCGGAAAGCATTTCCCCAATATCTTAGTTAAAGCGATGCCACACCACCAACAGACACTAGTAGCATTTTCTTTTCTTTTTCTGAAACAGTCTCACTCTGCTGCCCTGGGTAGAGAGTGCTGGGGTGTTATAGCTCACAGCAACCTCAAATTTCTGGGCTCAAGAGTTCCTCTTGCCTCAGCCAAGTAGCTGAGACTACAGGCACCCACCACAACACCCAGCTGTTTTTTCCCACCTTCCTTTCTCTCTCTCCTTTTCTTTCCATACGGAGTCTCACTTTTGCTCAGGCTGGTCTCAAATTAAGCTTAGGCAATCCTGCCACCTCAGCCTCCCAGAGTGCTAAGATTACAGGTGTGAGCCACCACTACTGGCCAGCATTTTATTTTCTTTGCCAATGTTGTCATGCTTGTTTGCGTGCGTTCCTTACCCATCTTTCCACCCTTTTTCTCACCCAGCTTTAGTCCCATGAAAACTATTTATGTTTTTTTTTTTCAGGCTAGGAAGTTGACTAGGTGTAGGGGTGGCTCGTGTGGCTTAGTGGGTAGGGTGCCAGCCCCATATATCGAGGGTGGTGGGTTTGAACTGCTCTGGTCAAACTGCGACAACAACAACAAAAATAGTTGGGCATTGTGACGGGCACCTGTAGTCCCAGCTACTTGGGAGGCTGAGGCATGAGACTTGCCCAAGCCCAGGAGTTGGAGGTTGCTGTGAGCTGTGACGCCATAGCACTCTACTGAGGGCGATAGAGTGGGACTCTGTCTCAAAAAAAGAAAGAAAGAAAGTTGACTAGGTGTTAGGGTGAAAGTGAAGCAGGCCTAACTCCATTTTGTTGTAACTCTTATTCCTGAGAATCAGTGGGGAGGCAAAACAGGCCCGACTCCGTTCTGCTGTTTTGTTACATTTTATTGCTTAAAGAGACTGGTTCCCATTGCCTCCCCTGCCCATTGCATGGTATTTTAAGTGTACCTGGTTAGAACTGTTAGAATTATTAGTATCATGTAAAATGTCACTATCTACCGTCGTGAGAACAACAACCCTCATGATTGTGTTAAGGTGGTCTTCATACCATCCATATATGATATTGAAATGTTACAAGCACAAGCTTGACTCCATTTTACTATTTACTCCCTTTTACCTTCAAAACTAGTTCCTCTCATTTGTCCTCCCATCCTGTAACTGTAAATGGCCCTAGTGATTATAGCTTTTTATAATCATGCCCTTTATGACCCTTACCTGTAAATTCCCCTCCCTACATTTACCCCCCTAGGACATTGTGGTTTGTACCTATTTTGTAAGGAAGAAATGTTATGGGGTGAGCTAAGGACCACGGACTCAAATTAGAATTTCAAAAAGGAGTCTTTTATTAACCGTGGAGTTGTCTCAGCAAAGTCTAAAGCAGACTAAGTGAGAGAGCATTGCGGAGTCTAAAGTTGGGGTTTTTCTAGACTAAAAGTTGGCAATGAGCCAAACAGGTGGTCTGAAAGTTGGCAATTAGAAGCAAAAAGAATAGTGGTGAAAGAAGCAGAAAGCAAGCACGGGGTCACGATGACCCCCTTTTACAGAAGCAGTTTAGTGGATTAGCCAGTAGGTAACATAAAGGGCAGTTAGATAACAATAAGGTAACATAATGCGGATCTAGCAACTAATGGATAAGTAAAACAATTTGTCACAGCACTTAGCTCATTAACTCTCAGAACAGTTCAGTGCCCATGCATTCTTATCTTGTCCTGTTCTGGCCTGATCTGGACTGATTTAAGTGCAATGGTACTTGGAATCATTTCATTTACTTCTTTTTCTCCTTCCTCCTACGTGGGGTGGTGGTGTGAGGCCATTGTGAGGCTGCCAGCATCCATCTTATGGGGGTGATGAGGCAGCTGGCACCCATGAGGCTGCTGGCAGCCTTCTAATTCCCTCCTTCTGATTTCAGGGAATCAAATCATTGTTCCATTCTTATCTTGATGGATATATTCATAGTGTGCTCATAATACTATGAGTTTCACTATCTGTATTCTTTTTGAATATAAGAAGTAAGAGCATTAATAATACAAGGTCCTAGTTTTAGTCTCAGTAGGAACAGGACAATGGGTTCTGCTAATGCAGAGAGGAGTGTAGTCAGCAAGGTGACCAGTTACGTCTTTTCATACCAATTTGTTACTTGGCTCATGCCTCTTCTCTCTCTGCAACTTTTTTCTTACTAGTGACATGCTGTTTCTTATTACTCCTGAATTATTAGTGTAAAAGTAATAAGTTTCTCTCAGGGTTACACAGAGGCTTCTCTGTTTCAGAAACAGAAGATTCAGTCCTCTCCAATTTTGCAAGACTACCTCAGTTAGTGAGTCTAAGGGTGTTTCTTGTTGGGTTATGAAGCTTTCTACTTCCTTTAAATCTTTGTTCATCTGATGTGTTAGGATTTTAAAATTCTCTGTCCCTAGCTGGAGAGTTTACTTAGCTTTATGGAGATGTAACCATTACATCAGGGTGATGGGCTAATATACATACAAGTTTTTACTTTTCCTCATGTGATATTCTTCCCCCCTTTTCCCAAAGTTCAGTTCAAAGTTTAATTAAGATAAGTTCCTTGAGGAGTTTCCTCAGGCTTCAGCTGTGCATTGACCAGCCAGCTTCCAGTATGTGACTGGAGCAGGGCATGTTGGCTGTCTCAAAAGTTACCTTTACCTTCCAAGGGCAGTGAAGCTCTATTTAGCCAGTTGTGATGATTTCAGGTGAGGCTTCTTTCCATTTTCGTTGCTATGTGTGTAGTCAGGATGATGGTGTAAAGTTCTTTCTGCCTTGGTTGGGGGGAGCAGGTTCTGATCCTTGATTTAGACTTAATTCCCTTGATTTTTCAGAGAGAAAGAACTCAAGTGAAGATTTTTTCTTGCTACTCTTTCTAGGGTTTTTGTTTATTTAATTTAGTCTCTTTCAGTTTTTTAGGAGTTCCTGCTAAATTGTGGAGGATTGACAGAGGCCTCTTTGAAGAACACCAGGGGCAAGACCCATATCTAATTAAGCTTTGCTTCCTGGCAGAGTTTACCAATTTCTGTTTTTATAGTTCTGTTTATGCATTTTACGTTATCTAAGTTTTGAGGCCTATAAGTTACATATAGTTTCCAGGTGATACTCAAAGTTTTAGTTATTATTTGCATTCCTTCTGCTATGAAAGCTAGTTCAGTGTCAAATTTAAACCAGAGTGGCAACTTAAACCATGGGATGATTTCCCTGGGCAACACTTAGATACAGCAGATAACATTTAATACTGCACAAATTTTTCCAGTGTAGCCAACCGGTGACCTTTGCTGAGTCTTAAGGCTTTAGAGTAACTGTTTATCTAGTCTTTTAGCCCTATTTAACAAATCAGTTTAGTAAAACAGTTGTCTCACTTATGAGTTAACATTATAGGCAAAGCTGGGATTTAATACAGGTGGGCCATAGCCTTCCTCTTCTTCTTAGACTATTTTTCTCTCTCTGATTTCCCCTTCCACTAAAGATAAATTATAGCAGAGCCAACTCAGTTGTTAAAATAAACTGTACCTTCAGTACACTGGATTTGACTATTTGCATAGAGTACAGTAAGAATAATTAATTATTAGCCATTTAGGCTCTTTTTCTAAATTTGCTTTGCTGGAATTTTTTAAATAAGGGATCTCAGTTGGACTGGAAGACTTTCAAGGTTTCATCTGTGCCATTAGATACCTATATGCATTGGGTAAATTCCTTTTCTCTTGAGGTTCCCAAGCACATTTCAATTCCTAGACCTGTTAGAAAGCAACCTTCGTTACTTACCACAGATCAGGAAACATCATTGATAGGTATCTGGTCACTTTTTCCAAGGGCTTTTTATTGGCGTTATAAAGTCAACCTCAATTCTTTAATGTAGTCTGGACACCTCTGGAAATGCTATTCCAGCTAAAGCCTTGGTAAAATAACCAGTGCCTTCATTACTCTATAGAACAAAACAGATTCTTATTGAACTTATGCAAATAATTGTATTGTCAAGAATTAAGAATACTTACAAATGGTCTTTAAATTTCAGAGAAATTAATGAGAGAGAAAAAAATACATGTTTCAGATTCTGCTCATAAGTACATATATTGCTTGAAAAGCAATAAATAGCTCAAAAGATAGAAAATGATTTTCTTGACTTCTGGAAACTAGAACACAGAAAGAATCAGCAATATTTCAAACAAAAACTATAATAAATCATCTTAGTTCCACGTAACTGATTTATGTTCTGTTTGAAGTTAGGTTAGTAATTCTCATAGACATGTTACCTTTCCGATGAAAGTCTGTTTTTAGTTCAAAGGTACTCAATTTCCAAAGACATTAGGAATTTGAGTTCGAGAGAATTTGTCAGTCTCTTTTAATATTTCTTTTCTCCCTTTTTTAGATGAATTAAAATTATTACTGGTAATATACATTAGGACAGACCAATATTTTATACTTTAGGACAGACTAATGTCTTATAATATCAGAATATACATATAACCATAATTTATACAAAAC